TTGTTGTTTATTTAGTTGTATTTAGTTTCAATAACTTTTCTTTATAATGCAATAAAATCTGGCGAGCAGCTATTTAAACGATCGAACACTTCGTTTGTTTATTTGTGGCTTGAAGTTAGGCTCGCAGAAAATGCCGTTCATGGGTTAAATTTAGTAGGAACAACACAACCTGTGACGTAGGCTATATTATACCCAATTGCATTTTTCTCTTTTTTGTTTTTGGAAACTATTGCAATGTTATGTTTACTTTTGATGTGTTTGTTCTATGTATAGTACTTTTCTATGTGATGTTTTATTCGAGCGGATATTAAGGAAAATGCATACACCACAAGAGAAAGCTCAGATTTTATGGTGGTTCATAGAAACGAAATCGGTAGTGCAAGCACAGAGAAATTGCAGAAGAATTTACCAAAAAGATCCTCCACCCAAAAGCAGCATCTTGCAGTGGAAAAAGAATTTTCTAGAAACTGAAAGTATCGCAGATAAGAAACGTTGCGGACGTCCATGCACAAGTGATAGACATTTTTAGACACTCCTAGAAGATTTGTGAGATCAGCGGCAAGAGAATTGGATATGCCAATTTCGACGGTGTACAAGGTTATTAAGAAACAATTAAGACTGCATGCATACAAAGTTCAAATTGTTCAAGGTTTGGAACCGGACGATAGACCTAGGAGGATGGCGTTTGTAACAGATATGGTAGGAAGGATAGAAGATGCTGCTGATTTTCTGAAGCGCATAATGTTCTCCGACGAAGCATCCTTTCATGTTTCTGACATTGCTAATCGCCATAATGTGCGCATATGGGGATCTGAAAACCCCCATGAATACCGTGAGACACAAAGGGATTCCCCAAAGGTTAATGTGTGGTGCGGACTTATGCACGACAGAGTCATTGGGCCTTTCTTTCTTACAGAAAAGACGGTCTCATCAGTCGTATACTTAGACATGTTGGAAAACTTCGTATTTCCACAACTAGAAGAGCTTCAACCACATGTCTTTATGCAACAAGATGGTGCACCACCTCATTGGGGTATCATCGTTCGTAGTTCTTTGAATGACCATTTTCCAGGAAGATGGATTGGGCGAGGAGGTCCAATTCCTTGGCCACCCAGATCACCTGATATAACGCCGCTGGACGTTTTTCTTTGGGGATTTATAAAGGACGATATTTACAGGAGGATCGTGTCTAACATTGATGACCTAAAAGTCAGAATTACAACCGCAATAGCCTCTGTGGATGCCGGCATGCTTGCCGCTACCTGGCGCGAAATTGACTATCGACTTGATATTCTCCGTGCGACGAAGGGGCACACGTGGAAGTTCATTGACAAGGGCCATGAAACCTTTTGAGTCTATCTATCCATTTATGTTATTAATTTTAATCTATCTTTATTATTTTATGAGTTATTAAACATCAAAATGGGTCCGGGACTTTATAAACACCCTGTATATATAGAGAGAGTGTGAAAGTATAAATTGGGTGACGTGCACCACACGTGCTACCTCATAATGTTCTTTATTCAATTTATCTGACACAGCAAATATATAAAATAATTAAATATTTAAATGTGCGCTATAAACTATTTCACGTAACACCATTTGGGAACTGCTGTTCCAATCATTCATTATTGCATTTAAATGAAGAATGAATGAATGTGAATGCTGATTCGCCTTCCAATGAGGTGAACAGGGTTTGAGTCCCAGCAATAGCTGGTCATTTCGAATTCCGCATCTGGTTAGCACCGACCATAATGCTGACGCAAAATATCCCCAGTGCGCTAATCATGGATCCCAGTGCGCTAACGGATCATGGGTTAGAGTTCCCTTGCAGTCAGGCTAACTGTGAGAGGTCTTCGGGGTTTTCCTCTCCATGTAACGCAAATTCAGGTTAGTTCCATCAAAGGCAAATTTCTCCCAATGTTCAAAATTACAGGGATACGGAGTTGAACATCGGTAGTCGCAAACTGAAAAATTCGGTCAGCTGTTCAACGACGGTTATAAAATAAAACAAAATGAATGTTCTAAACAATGAGAAGGCATAGAATTTATCAAGTTTAGGACATTTTGCAGATGTTTAAAAATAAATGCATACAACAAATAATGAAATAAATTAAACTAGTGGGCTGCGCCCCCTGCTCGCTAACGCTCTCCAACCCCGAAAATTGCTACGCAATCTTAAATGGTTTGCTTCGCAAACTAAGTTCGCTTCGCTAGGTACTAAATTAGGTATATTGCAAATGGACAAAATTCTAAGAATTCAAAACAATCATTCAAATCCATATAAAAACTTTTTTTTAAAAAAAAATTACATCTTTTTAGTAAATACTAAGTCATTAAAATAAATTTGAATTCAAATAAATGACATGTAATTCGTTAAACCTATTAGAAATGTGCTATAGTATAAAATCTTAAGATAAAATTTCTAAAACTGATATCTCTTTAAAAAGGTTAAAATTTTGGCTATAATTAAGTCTATTAAAAATT